CATAGGATTTACTGTACTGTTAACGTAGCATAGCCAATAGCCTAGCGCCCAAAGGTTCTCAGGTATGCAGCCGTTGCAGAAAGTGTTTACTAGCACCATGATGTTATAAGGCGTCCATGTTATAATGAAAGCGAAAAGGATGGCACTTAGAGTTTGCGCCGCTTTCTTTTCTTTTATTAGCGACATACGCTTCCGCTTGGTGATTTGCGTCCTTGCGCAAGCTGCGAAACGTTTAGCTAAAGCTGCCTCTTTGAAAGTTATGGGTGCTGAGGGAGATTTGACGGTGGTGTTGGTGCCGTCTACGTTCGGCTCCGTTGACGACTTTATAGCGGATATTGACTGAACTTTATTCATGATTCCGATACACCGCTTGTCCCCATTGGTGACGGAGCGCGAGATGCTGTTATCCCTGCCGTCGTTCGCCACAGGGGACCGTAATGGATCTTCCTCTGTGTCCAAATCCTCACAAGAAGTGACCTGGGAGTTTACAGCTGCCCTCATGCCAGGCAGATTGAGAACGATAGAGAAGATCGCCCGCGTGGTAGACGGCGCGCTCTCATCATCGTCAGATGAGCCTGAGTGGTCGGCTGACAGTCCAGCATCGTTGTTGTTCCAGCTGTCACTGCTGCTCTGATCTGCCTCCCGGTGCGGCCCACCTTTATCCCTGCCTCCCAACTTCCACCCCCAACAGTGGAATCGCCCGCTCAGGCCGTGAACGGAGCTTTGTTTGTGGCCAGGTTGGCCCAGTTCGAAGCTGCTGCAGCTTCTAGAGTTCCCCCCAGTGGCGTGGAGGTGGAAGTGCGGTCGCTCGACACCTCCGAACCTTCCGACTGAGCCTTGTAATACTGCAAGTTCCCGAGAACGGTTCTCTGTCTCTTTGTATATTCGCCAGTATAGAACGCTCATTATCGTCACCGGCAGGTAGAAAGCCGCCATCGCGGTGCAAAATGTAATAATAGGCTCGGAGAGAAACTGAATGTAGCATTTATCCAGTGGAACGGTTCTTTCTCCTACAAAATACTGCCAAAACAAAATGGCAGGTGCCCAAAGTATGAGCGACACAAACCATGCCAGGCCAATCATCACTCCTGCCCGCCTGGTGGTACGTTTGGCACGGTATGTCAGAGGCCTTGTGATGGAGAAATATCGGTCAAAGCTAATGACCAGCAGATTCATGACAGATGCATTGCTGGCTACGTAGTCTATTGCTAGCCAGAGGTCGCATGCCCAGTTTCCCATTGCCCACTGGCCCATGACAATGTAGGCGGTGTACAAGTTCATAGAGATGACCCCAATGATGAGATCTGCCACGGCTAAACTAAGCAGGAAGTAATTGTTAACTGTTTTGAGCTGGCGGTTGACCTTAAATGACACCATGACCAAGATGTTGCCGATAATAGTAATAAGGGAGAGCAATCCTGTAAAGACAACGATGAGAATGACCTGCCAGAGTGAGTGACCACCCAGAGGATCATAGGATTGACCTTCAACCTTGACATTACTCCCATTGAGCTTGAAAACAGCACTGAGGTTGATGAGGCTTGTGTTCTGGAGCAGTGGCCATGGAGTGGATGCCGGGTAGATTCCCACTCCCAGGGCATTGGATGGTGAGTACAGGCCCAACTC